ACCCTGAGGAATAGGAAGGGGCAGGGAAGCACCTCTATTCACTTTCTCCAAAGCACACATGCTTTTAATAAACCTCTTCTGAGCTGTCCTTATGCTGTGCTGCGAGCATTCAGAGGCATGCAATTCGTTAATGTTTGAAATGTTGCAGAATGGTGAATTAAACAGACCTTGGCCTGGTTTTAAAGCAATCCATGAACAGATCTTTAGGTCTAGCCAGTTTGGGGCACTGGTTAAATTTATGCTCTGGAGCTCAAAAATTGGTCACAGTTGGAGTCAGCTCTGGAATATACAACCTCTCATCAAGTTTTCACAGAGCAGCCTAACCTATCATATGCAATTCCTTCCAACCAGAGGAAAGGTCACATTCTAGTTTCACTCAGCCCTTCACCTGGCCCTTCCCCCATGTTCTTAATTTCCCAACCTATGGGTAGATGTTGCTACACTACAGTTCCCATCACCTCTAGAAAGCATGACCTAAGGGCAGGAGCTGTAGTCCAACATCTGGGAACCACAAACAGGGAATTAAACATGTGTCCAACTCTTCTTCCAAGGAACTTTTGAGTAGCACATATCTGAATTTAACCAACAACTCTCTGATGTAGATCAGGCTGCAATATAAGTGACCTAATGAGTTTCATGGCCCAGTAAGGTTGCAGGGTGGGTTGCCCCACTTGACCATAAATGCATGGTAGAAAGGGAGCGTATGAATCAGCTCTTATTTTATTGTAGGGGTGGGCAGCTTCAGGGAATCTGTGGGCCAATTTCCAGCCAGTGCACCTCCAGAGGCCACATCCCTGCCACCCAATGCCACTGTGGCAAAGTTATTTATTTATTTATTGCGTTGCTATATTGGCCAGTAGCTGACACTCTCAAAGGAGTTCACAAAAAACAACAGCAAATGCTAGAAAGACCCAAAACAGCCACGTTTAGCTTAAAAACAAGCGGAATGTTAGTGGTAAAAATCTCTGGGTTTTCGCTCCTGTGCAGCAGCAGGGACAAGTGGGCATTGCACACAAGGCTATGGGACACGTGCTCATATGGCCCTTAGGTCACCCATTCCTGCCCTATTTGGCCAGAGTCCGAGCCAGCCCATAAAGACTCTTAGGTGTGGGGGGTGCCCACCTGCTCCTCTTCCACATTAAAAGGCCATCAGCTAGGTAAGTGCATGAACCAATAAAGGGGCCTTACGCTCAATGGTCTCCAAGCTGTTGACAGAGCAGCAGAAATGCCACTGACCTTTTCTCTCTGGGAAAACTCAGCTAATTGCCTGTATTTCTCTGCTCATTAGGAAAAGGTCCAAGATGCAATGAGATGAAAGAACATTTGCATAGTCTCCTCTGGGTGATATCTCTTCCTGTCCTCCATGAAGGTCAAGGGGAACCAGGGCTGGCTCAGAGACAAACTCTCAGGCCAACACACTCCTCCTCCTCCTCCTCCCCCTCCCAGGGTTTATTTATCCTTCTGCCTGCTGGAGCTTTTAAGAATGTTATTCATCCAGTAGGACTTTTTATGTTCCCAGCAACATCAATCAAGAACCTTGTCACTTTTTTACGGCCACGACTAAATATTGCTACCTGGTAATGCAGCCTCTTAACATCATTTAAAAGAAAGCCGCGTCCTTCCTTTTGTAACGCTGCTGGCGCCTCAGCTGAGGTTGTTTTATGGAGGAGTTTAATAGAGGAGCCCAAGATGAAGTCCTATTTAGGAAGGAGAGAGCAGCTACAGAGATTTACAAGCAGAAGGGCAGGTTTCTGGAGGCAGAGAAAGGTGGAGAAGCCCACCATCCACTTATCTAAGCAGAGAAAGAGGCTGATACTTTATGCATCTTTCATGCATGTGCATATGCACATAGGCCCCCATTAAGAACATGTGAGTTTTGTGACCTGTATTAATTATGCAGATTGAGCAAATCAGCGTCACTATTCATCATCATTTTACCCCACCTCTTGCAAGGAACCTAAGGCAGCTCACAAGTTCCTCCTCTTTCCCATTTTTTGTTCACAACAACCTTGTCAGGAAAATTAGGCTGAGTCACGGACTGGCCCAAAGTCATCCAGTGAGCTTCACAGTTGAGGTGAAACTAGAATCCAGATCATCTAATCCATGCTCAACACTGTAACCAAAATGCCACACTGGTTCTCATTCTGATTTTTTCTTTATCAAACAAAGCAAGGGGTTTGGTTTAACTCATTGTGTTAGTATAGCATCCTTTTTGTCCGTTACCCATTAGGATTATAAGAAGGAGCCTTATACAGGCCCATACCATTGGGTCCATTGAGCCTAGCCGTGTTGACACTGACTGGCAGCAATGTCTCTTGGGAGTTTCAGGCAGGATTTCTTCCTAGCTCTATGAGAAGAGGCCAGGGATTGAGCCTGGGATCTCTTGCAGGCCAAGCAGGAGCTCATTTTACAGCTAAGAGAATCATTCCCATGCCAGTACTGCAGTTCTATGTACTACTTTCGCAGCCTGAGCAGCTTGTTTTAAAGCAGGGGTCTCAAACTCAACTTACCTGGGGGCCGCTGGAAGTAGAGTCTGGGTGAGGCTGGGCCGCAGCAAGCGGTGGTGGTGGGCCGCTCATCCGGAGGCCGGCCTGGGCGCCGCCGGCGCTTTGAAGGCCGCAGGGCCCCTCCCCTGTGTCCCACCCATCCCAGCAATTGGCCTGTGGGCCGCGAGTTTGAGACCCTGTTCTAGAGGAAGTCCATTAGGCTCTTTCTCTTAGCTTCCAACCAGCTTGCCTCTCCACCTCAAGCAGCTTCTCTCTGCCTGTGGGGACTGGACCTTCTCAGCAGACACTCAGGAGAATTTCTTCCCTGCCATAAATGTGGCTTATCAGAAGATGTGGCCAGGCAGTGTGCCATACACAGGCTCCTTCACCTCCATGCTGAGGCAAACCTGCAAGGGAGCTTCTGAAAGGCACAGCCAGGCTTTGAAACAGTCCAAACCTGCTACACACATACACACACACACTGAAGATCAGCTATGTTGGTTGCCATAGCAACACTTAATTCAGCTCTCGGCTCATAAGATAAAAAATAGTCAAGGATGTCCAAATATTAGCATTCAAATACCAGAGTGGATTTGGGGATGAAATCCACTCAAGCAGGACCTGATGTTCTGAAAAGTGGGGTCTTCTCCCTGTACCAAGAATATTTTTGATTCACCTTAAACAGAAAAGCAAGGGCTGTGAATTTAACTCCTCAAAGAACAAGGGGCAACATTTGGAGCTAGTTGTTCCCAGTTGAAAACTTACCTCTGCCATCCCAATTAGTAGGGCTGGGCTATCTTAGGGCTTTTCTGCCATCCTGAACCTCAGCCCCTGACTCACCCCATCTGTAACACAGGGAAAATAATTTCGGTCTGCTTTCCCTGGCTGTTTGGAAGGAATGCAGAAGAGCTTCTCCAGACATCAGTTCCCACAGGGATCAGCATCACAAGGTGAGTTACTGAACTGCCCTGTCTTTATTATTCAGAAGAACTTAGCACATGAATGCTGCCCATTATGTGATGAATCTTCCCCACCTGCTACCAGCATCTGCCAAGCTACATTGGAGTAGAATTTATCTGTTGAGCAATTCAATGTACATTATGGGGTGTGGGAAACTTGCCACAGGGATGCCCTAAGCCAGTAACATCCAGACCATTTTGCCAGTAAAACATACTTGAAACTCACTGAACATGTTGAATGTGGGATGATGATGATGATGATGATGGAGGAGGAGGAGGAGGAGTTGTTGCTGTTTTCCCACTGTTTTGTAGGTGGCTTCTCTGTTTCTAACTGCTGCATAAGTGACAAAAATCTAAGAGGTGCAGTTTTCCCCCAAACAATCAGGTTTGTAATTTGGGGGATACTCTTGGATCCAGAAATTTTACTAGAGGCACAGGCAGACTCAATGACATGGGGCACCTTGAATCAGCCCAAACTTGAAGTATAACCACATTCTTACCTGGACACAGAAAGGCTAGCTCAGTTATCGATGCTCTGGCTGGATTGCAATCATGATGTGCTAGGCTGCTGTTGGAAACTACAAGAGCAGTAGTTTTCAACTGGAAACTTCAGTTGGTCCAAAATGCAGTAGTCAGATTGTTAATGGCAATTGCCTAATGCTATATTATGCCAGTATTTTTCTGTCTGCACTGGCTGCCAGTCCGTGTCAGGGCCCAATTGAAAGTGTTCATACTAACAGCTGAAGCCCTCAGTGACTTGAGACCAGGTTATCTCAAGGATCATCTCTTCCATCTCTTTCCACCATCTTCTGTGGTCCTGTGGTGGAACCCTCACCAAAGGAAGTAAAGATGGGTGGTAACTCAGAAGAAGGTTTTTTTGCTGTGCAATGAGCATCTCAAAGCAGTCCAACCAGTGCCTACACTGTGCTCTTTTTAATACTTTTTATTTTCCTACACATTTTGATTTTTCATTTTCTGTTATGGTATTTTAACATTTTCCTTATCTGGTATTGTATTTTAAATCTAGCTGCTGGCTGCTATTTAATTATTAATTTGATTTTTCTACTGCAGTTTTAAACTTTGACAATGTGTGTTATCATTTTAATTGCTGTGAACTGCCCTGACAGCTTTGCATTGGGCAGTATAGAGAGAAAATACATAAATAATGAAAACATATGGAGACCCACAGGCTTCACAACCCATGGTTTGCACCCTCCAAAGACATACAAGTACAACAAGAATCATGCATAACCAATTTATGGAGAATATAGGTCTAGTAATAGCTGAAAGTAAAACAGAGCTTCCATGTATAGATGCCATATACCACAGAGTATAGACAACCCTCCACCCAAAATACTGAGGACAAACAACAGAAGGCATAATGCTGTGCTTAAGAACTTCCTACTGGCTGATTACTATTGGCCACAGAGTGTTACATTTTTGCTTTGAACCAGAAGGACTTTAAGATCTCAGTGAGCTTCCTGTTAATTCCTGAGTATCAAGATTTGGGTTGAGAAACCTGGCAGTGCACAGAAGGACAAAAAGTTCCTCTTACCTGTTTCACCCCATATTGGCAAATACTCATCCTGTTGAATGTCCAACATTATCTCCAGGCCATTGCCTGTCCCACCCTTGAAAGTGGTCAGCAGAGGATGCCCATCTTCTCCTGAGTTAAACATGTAGCACTTCCCATATTTCGTAAACACCTAGGAAAATGGAAGACAGACAGAGAGAGAGAGAGAGAGAGAGAGAGAGAGAGAGAGAGAGAGAGAGAGGACATTCAGTATTACTGTTAGGTGCACTTCCTAGAGGTCCCAGGTCTTGCTTCTGCAGAGAAAGGACCCAGACAGGCTTCAGCAATTGCTAGCTTGGAAGCCTTAAGAGATGTGGAAGTCTCCGACAACTATTGTGCTATCTCCCAGCACCTAGCGGGGTCTGGCTTTCTGATTCATGGAAAGTCTTGCATAAAGCCTTCAGAGTCAACAGAACCCCAATCTGCGTAGCCATGCGTTATCTATGGCCAGCAAGCTTCAACCTACCTGCCTTAGGTACTACTGCTTTTATAGCTTCATTCATCATTATACAAAATGAATACCGTACTTTTAAAACACAGCCAAATAGTATGAACATTTATAACAATAATAACTTTCTGTTCAAGAGAATACCAAATTCAGTTAATACCCAATTCATAAAACAATTTATCAAAAAGGGATAATAACATACAACCCACATTTTAGCTAAAATATATCCACTTATATATACCCATTCTGCACTAAAAGAGAAGAATTCTGCAAACTGTATAAATAAAGCAATCTGAGCATATTTGCATTCTTATTCTGCATAATTTATTTTGTTTCTCCTGGGCACAGAGAGAGCTGAGACACCATACCAGGCACTGATGTTCCTGTCTCCTGATTCTTTCACATCTCAAATAATTCCCCTCAACCAAGCACCTATCAGCTTGGAAATCAAATGGGACACCCCTCCCCGCCAAGTAGTGCTTGCTACATATTCAGGAAACTCCCTAGGTAAGTGGAAGTATAGAAGTTTCTAAATTAAAATACAAGTTTGAAGATTTCCCAGAAAGCCCAAAAAGGGGCTTTCACCCTCCAGGTCTTACATAACGTTACTGGCAGTTAAAGTTACAGACATAAGAAATAACACACTCCACTGTCTGAATACTGAACTTCCCAGCTGCTGTCTTTGCTGCTAACTATCATTTCTGGAGGTGTTGCCCAGACAGAGCTATGCAGCAAAACCCTGGATTTCTCCAGTTTTCTATGTGTCTCTCTCATTTCCATTCTAGAGGAGAATAAAAAGGAGGATCTACAGAAGCCTTTTGCAAGCTAGTGCCTTCGAGAAGCATTGGTCTACAATTTCTATGATGTTGGCAGAGGGTCCTACAAATTGTAGTGCAACATATACACAGAGCATCAATAAGGGTGGCTTTAGCCTTGAACAGGACCATTCCTTTTAGGATGCAGATATAACACTGCAACATCTCTGCAGGTTCCACTTGTGGTTATTTTGGAGTAAATACAACTTTGCTATGCAATAGTCTCCTTTCTCCGGCAGCATCATGACACATTTCTACCTTATTCCAAATGTCTTGAGCATTTCTTAAATCCACATCTCCTGAGATGGCTACATATTATTTCCTTTACTGGGTGCTTGACTAAGGAGAAATATGAATCACCTCAGTGCCATTGATTCAATCAACCCTTTTGTGCTTCTAGCAGATTCCTAAAGGTCTCCACATTTCATGGAAAAATGAAACAGAGTTGGGGAAAACTGATGGGGGACCTCTTGCTGTTCTCAGGGTTTGGGGCAACTGCTTCAGTTGCCAAGAAAAAGGGCTACAGAGTCTTGATGGGCCTGTTTCAGGGTGCAGAGGTGCCACTCAAATTAGGAGTCAATGGAAGTTAAGGAAACTAAAAGGTCTCTGGAAGCCGAGAATCCAGTGGGGGATAGGAAGTGGCCACTCCAAGGAAAGGAGAGTGCAGCTGTAGATGCTCTCAGTTATTTGAGCCTCTTCCTTCTCAAAAAGGTCATGCTGGAGACGTGGGAAGCATCTCAAGCTTGGATGTCATGTTTTTACCTGCCTGAGACTTCCCTCAAAGAGAACAAAGCATGTCTTATACCTCTGAACTCCAGAAGCATCCTACATATCAACACAAAACTCTAATATCCTTTTCAATTGCTGTCTCATCGCTCTTCAGAGGAGAAAAAAGGAGGAGTGAGGAAGAAGGAAAGGGAGCGAGATTTCACTGCACAAGAGGCTGCATCCTCCTTAATGAAGTTGTCTGCAATTTCCCCAGCCACTGAGACAAAAGGCTATTTAACAGCTACAGCTAGCCTGATCTACAACCCAGCCTAGCCAAAAATAAGAGCAGCTTCACACTTTACATAGCAATTGTGTCTGCTGCAGCTGCAATGATGTTTCCTGCAATAAGCACATAGAGCATGAAGGGTAGACTCATGTCTGAACACTTGGGGACACACACCAAAGGAGTCCCAGTTGGCCAGAGCTCCTTGGAGCATGTCCATGATTTCTTTAGCAATGCATGTCTGCCCTTCACGCACAATTCAGAGATTTCTCTTAAGGTTCTCTCTCAATCTGTCTCTCAATTATTCATGGCTATGTGTATTCTGTGCTATAAAATAAAAATCCCATGCAAAAAGTTGTATTTGTCAGCTTGTGTATATTATGCAAATTAACCACACCTGCGTTTTTCCTCATTCAGCTAGAGTTCCTCCCATTTCATATAATGCATTGTTTCTCTCAGTCAGTGGATAAGGAGCTGTGTGGGGACACTAAACCTTTATCCTTTGGCCCCAAGAATCTTATTTAGATTAAACCTGATTTTTGAGATTAACCAGGAATTGCCCACACAGCTTCAAACATCTGTACATCTATGAGGGCTAGAAACATGGATGGGTTTTCTGTTGTTTATATAAAACTAAAGGCAAAGGTTTTCATGAAGCTGCCTTCTTCACCCAATGCCACACTGGGTGCTTCAGCAAATCAGAAAGAGTCAGTTCCTTGTGTAAATTGGATGCAGGTAGCTAGTGGATTCCTAGAGATTTCACTGAGAACATTTGTAAGCTTGTCTGTTACTGAATTCCCACACTGTGTATTCTGGATCTCAGCCTCAATTCATGCAGGTCACTAGCCAGGACAATGAGTCTAAATCTTTCAACCATACCCACTGAAAACATGCCAGAATATAATCAACATTCCCCCTACAACTCGCCAAGCTGCGTACTGCAAAGTGACATTAGTAATCGTGGCCAAAATGAAAAACAGGGAGCCACTCAAGGAAGGTGAATTTCTAACACTTGTTTTCATAAAACATTTAACTGGGATGGAATTCAGAACCACAAGCTATGATGGTAGATGCTTCCTCTGAGAGCTTTTAAAAAATGCTTGGAGGAACAAAAGTTTATCCATGGGTTACCAGTCTTGACATTGGGAGCAGACCTGTAATGTAGAGGTAGGCAACTTGTGGTCCTTCAACTCCCATCAGCCCTAATGCAAGGGCTGATGGGAATTGCAGTCCAATGCCATCTGGAGGGACACAAGTTGTCTACTCTGCTGAAAAGCTATTAAGGACAAGCAAAAGAGTGAGTACAGCTTTGATATTCTGTTTGACAGGCCTAAAAGCATCTGTTTGGTCCATGCTGGTGGACACAGAGGACTGGAACTTAGCTGGATCCAGTAATTCATGGATGAACACATGTGTCTAGCCTGAACACAGATTTAGGGTTAAGGACATCTTCTGTCACGGCTTCTGTTCAAGAGCACAAACATATTGGAGATGGCGATTATAAGCACAGGTGGTGAAGATTCTTCCTGCTCTTCGAAATACGATCTCAAATCCAAACTGAGCGCTTCAGAGCAGAACCCCCGCCCTTTCTGCCATAGGTTTATTCCTCATTCTAGGTAATTAGTGCTTTGGGGAAATGGCCATGACAATTGTGATTTGTTTAATTTATAACCCTATGCATGTCTTAGCTGTTCCAAGCCTGACTGCCAGCATTTCTTCAATTGCTGCCTGAATATTAGCTCTGTATTTCTTTTTAAATACCCACTCCAGCAAAGCTAAATTGTGCTGATGGTTGAAAAGGTGATTTAGCACTACTCTAAGGGCTCTCTACAGCAATCACCAGTCAAGCAAAGCCTTCCCCTGATTTGCTGCAACACAAACAGCTGATCAGTCTAAATCAAAAGGGAACAGCAAAAGGGCCTCTTGTTCTCCAGCCATCCCTACCTCCTGGACCCTTATTTAGGGAAGAGTTCAGAGAGACCTCTCTATTCTGACACCCTCATCACAGCTATTCTTTCTTTTAGATTCCTTTCTCTACTCAATCCCAAGGCAATAGAGTACGACCGTGCCTTGAAAAATATACCCTGACCCAAAAGCCCCAGTCCAGATGCATGGATGGTGATTGCAATTATTCAGTGGGGAGGGAAATAACTCTGCATTTGGTCAGGGGCACACGTTCCCTTACATGTCTCAGGATAAGCCTTAGCACTGAAAACAGATTCTGGATTTGTGTTACATCCTCTTGCTGCAACAATGTGAAAAGAACAGGTTGTGCTTCCCAGGAGGAACCAAGACCTGGTTGAGCGCTACTCGCAGTGCTTCTGGCCTGAAGGGAGAGAGAGCCCTCAGCCTTGAGAGAGATGCTTTGCTTAAACAGTGCCCAGGATCTGTTCAAATAGAACTTACACTCTGTCGGGAAGGCAGACTCTGTGTGAGTCGGTGGGGTGCAGTTTACCTGCTTTGAAACACTGCCCAACAATTTACCCATTTCAGTTCTGCCACTCCACTCCCATTTCGCCCACTTTTCCCTAATTTCTCCTAATTTTAAAGTATTATCTGACCAGCTACTTAATGCTCTAGCCACTGCCTGAGGCTGGAGAGAAAGCAGCACTTCAGAGTTGCTTAGCAACCATGAAGCTCACTATTCTATGCATCCAAGGCCACAGCAGGTGAGCTGGTGAAATTGCTAGAGGACCATGTCACTTCCCAACAGCAGGAGAGAGATCACAGGAACGATAGCATAAACAACTCTTCAACAAATAGAAAACCCAAACCCAGGAAGCTTTGGCTGTGCAGTTTCCCCCCATGGGGAAACTTTTAAACTACAGTCTGAAGTGGTGGAGTTGAGTTTTTATTCCCTCTTTTTATTCTCCTGGTAT